CATACAACCTGAGAGCAGTGTGTACTCGCACAGAACGCCAAGGGCATCATCGATAGTAACGCGCTCGCACACAGAGGACCTGTTACGTCTATACAATGTTTCCGCAGGGTGAAGATGTGGGAAATTATAGATATTAGGTAGGCACATAAGTTTTGCAGCTTTTCTCATGATTTCTCTTTTTTTATGTAGCAATCTCATTCTTTGGCATCATGTATACTGCTATGTAAGTTACAACTCTGCGCAGACCGTTCGGTTTTTGATAACGTAGTGGAAAAAATTGAGCATTTTTCGAAAACTGCTGAAAATTAAGGATTCACGGTCTTTGGCGAACATTAAGCCATACAAAGCCTGAATCAAACCATGTAGCTAGGAGTTCAGACAATAGAATGAGTAAAAAAGAAGCGAAATAGACAAATCAAGATAAGGCGCTCTAAGATGAAGTAGTCGTGTGCGTCAAATTTGAAGTGGAGGGCCTCTCTCAATTATTAAGTTGCTAAAACACACAATTCGCTGAGACCTTGCACGATAGGCTTATCCAGCTTGATGAACACGAATATCATATTCATTTGTCGCTTAGATAAAAAATCATTTTTTGACTTTACGAAGGAGGTCTTGTGCGAAACGGGTCTCATTTTTATGATCAGTATGTCGAACAATCCTATAGGATAAGTTTCAGCGAAATCTGACGCATTCTAAAAAATTCTCCATTACACGCTCAGATAATCGCCGGGGGCAGGCGGCCATGCGATTTTTGGGCAAGCGGGCACCGGAAAAATAGTTCGCTGATTTCTTGCGGTCCGCTTGCAGATATTTGGAAGAATTTTAGCGAAATTTTAGGCGAATGCTTGGAGCAATCGCGGTTTCCTTACAGATTAGCTGCGGCGCAAAGGCCGCATTCTCGCGGACCTTCCGCGAGAACATGCAGAATTTTCGGGGGCCGCACGGTCCTTTGTGGAGAACCGCGCAGCCCCCAGGTACTTTCCGCTGAGAGAAAGTACCTCAAACTTGAGTAATTAAACCATCGTTGACACCTCTGTCATGTAGAGGAGTCTCATCTTTGCTCGGCGTACGCCCGAAACTGCTCAAAAACCGTCCGAGCGCCAACTGAAAATTTGACCAGCGCTCGCTGAAAAAGATTATTTGACGAGCGCCTGCAGAAAATTCTGTGCTGCCCGCTGGCAGAACATTAGACAGTAAAGGAAGCGCGCCCGCTGAAGGTTTAGCCACGCCCCAAAATTCTGCTGACCGCCTGCAAAAAAACGCGAGTTTGCGGACCGCCTGCCCACGGCGATTGTCTGAGCGTAAACCTACCGTGACGCTTACATAAGATGGCAAGATTCCGCAAAAAGTCTGCTTTTGAAGTTTTTATCGTAATCCTTATACTGCCAGAAAAGGAATGCGCTATGTTCAAAAACACAAAAGTTACACGAAAAGTCGCACTACTTATGTGCCAACCTAATATCTGGCTTCAATGTTGAACAGTGAAAATTTTTTGTTTGAAGCGTAAAATTGGAGATTGAGAGAAAAACAGAATTGAGGAGCCTGCAATATTAGGTTTGACTCAAAGCTTTGCACCAGAAATTGTGAATACAATCGGAAAACCTTTGAAAACGTTTCAGTATACGTTTAGATTCTACCCTTGTGGTAGCTATACATATCCCACAATTTCAACGCCTAAGTAGTATAGAAATTGCAAGGGCTTGATAAGCATCCATTTCTTTCCATAACAAAACCTTCTCAAACCTGTTGCTAAAGAGTAAAGTTCTATAGAATTTTATTGTTGCAGCTCAGCCCAGATACATACATCGGCAGCTTCGGTAGCTTTTGCGGAGAAAAAGTGATTTCCGGTTTTCAGTGAATCTGGAAGAGAACACAGATTTTGCAAACTTTCCTTTCAAACCATCAAATTACGTTTGAGCAAAATCATTGCTCTTATTGTCAGTATTTCCAAACCTAACATGCTTTAGTATACGAGTATTTTTTGAGAAAGTTTTCTTGCTCGAATAGACCATTTTTGCGTCTGAAACTTGAAGAATACTGCAAATGTTCGTCTCTCTTTTTCCTCTTTTTTCCTCAACATATCTCAAGATAAAGCTACAATTTGCAAGAAAGCTGGAAACAGTATTGAGTGAATAAAGATCGATATTGATGGAGAAGCTACTTTCGGTTTCTTCAAAATTAACGCAATTTTAATCTACAATTAAACAGAATTCTTTTATCAGGTTGTTACATAAGTCTTGTTACACTTCGACTTCTTACAGCGATAAGTCATGCACCTCATACTCTTGACAAGCCTCCGGGGTATCATTCGATAGAGCAAAGCAAGCTCTACAAGAAGGCCCACTATAAGTTTGCACTCAAAATCTGAGTCGTACTGAAGGCTCAAAAAACGCGAAAAATTCAAATCTTTGACCTAAAAAAATTCTACAAATCTCCAGTTTGCTCACAAAAATTGCACACTATATCAGACATTCATATGTGCCGTTGCTGTATTTTTTCCTCATCTAGAATTCGAGAAAACGAAAATTTTCTTGTTTTTACAAAAACGAAGCTATGCCGTTTCTATTTATGCAGCTGTATACTACAAGCCCTTAGAAGTATAACCGTAAATTTTCAGCTTTCTAGAAGCCGTAGTTTTCGAAAATTACCTAATTTAGCATTGAACACCAGAATAAAAAAAGCTAAATTCGGTATTTTTCGAAAACTAGAGCCTCTGGAAAGCTGAAAATTTACGGTTATACTTCTAAGGGCCTGTAGTATACAGCTACATAAATAGAAACAGCATAGCTTCGTTTTTATAAAAACAAGAAAATTTTGGTTTTCTCGATTTCTAGATGAGGAAAAAAATACAGCAACGGTACATGTGAGTGTCTGCTATAATGTGCAATTTTTATGAGCGAGCTGGAGGTTCGTAGGATTTTTTTGAATAATAATTTGAATTTTTCGCGTTTTTTGAGCTTTCATTACGACTCAGATCTTGGGTGCAAACTTATAGCGGGTCTAAGTTGGTGCGAATTTTTGCATACCTTCTTATAGAGCTTGCTTTGCTCTATCGAATGGTACTCTGCAGCCCTGTAAAGATTATAAGGTCCATGACTTATCGCCGTAAGAAGTAAAGTGAAACAAGACTTATGTAACAACCTAATATTTACAGATTATTTGGTCTGTGCGCTTGTTATTTTCGATTTGCTTTAATGAGTCTCAAAAAACCCCTGGTGATACGCTTAATGATTTGATAATCATAGCAGGAAAAAGACATTTTTGCCACATTTAGAAAGCTCTTTGTCGATCTTAAGTATTATACTGCAAAATAGTAATGGAATCACTGTTCGTGAAGACCCATAAGTCTAAGCAAACTCGAATTTTTATCGGCATATTTTGAGCTCCTAAAAATAAGTATTAGATTCTGTTTCCCAGCACTTTCAACATTTTTTTTGCATATTTAGACGATTTCGATGTGACATTCAGAATACAAATAAGAGGAGAAGTGTAGTATTCACAATGAAAATTACTAAAGCAGCTGTAATCTAAGACTATAAAAAGAAAAGTTCTCAAAGTTTTGGTAGCTACGGCGGCTGCGTTTACCACTGGTGTGATCAGATATTTGTGACCATATATGAGTGGTACGAAGAAGCGTACATTCAATCCCATTACAACAAAAAGTCTTAAGCATTTTTCGTCGTGGAAGGCTTGGCCAAGATCGGAAACACTTGTCATTTTGGAAAGCAGATGATAACAGCTGCTTTGGACGTGTGCAAAACTTTTTCGCATCCCCAAGTTTTTGCTGGTTTTTAATTCGTTAAAGTGGCATGCCGTTTTTCGTCATTAGCACTTTGGAGATTGTGAAGCTGCACACGTCAGCAAAGAAACCTACTCAGACACTGGGACCGGCCGAGCCGCGGCCTCAAAAGGCCTTTCCGGCCCGTCCGCGGCCTCAATCTGTGGGCGTGGCCGGAGTGCGGCCGAGCCGCGGACCTTAATTCATGTCACTATCATTGCACCGGCCGAGCCGCGGCCTTAATGATGGGGGTGGAGCATTGCACCGGCTGAGCCGCGGACCAAAATCTTTATAATGAAACTCCGGCCGAGCCGCGGCTTATATCAGATAAGATCCGCGGCTCGGCCGCTCCCAGAATCTGAGCATAAAGAGTACTTGCGTGATGTACGACGCATAATCAGGCCGCCCTCAGTGTCCATAGCCTTCGATGTCCTTCCAGTCTCCAAGGCGGAAACAAGATCAATATGTTGTACATCCTTGGATAGCACCTTGTGTTATCCAACGTTGAAGTCGGACTTGGTACCCGAAGCCGCTATATAGGTGGCTTCAATTTTTGTTTTTTTACTGTGTAATTCTAAGTGCCAGTGAATAAAAAAACAGTTCTACTGTATCCGAGCTGAATGAAATAGACGGCCCGACAACCAGCTCCGGTACTTGACTGCAGCTGATAGAGCATATTCAACTTCCGTGCAGGAACTGACATTTTACTATAACTCGAATCTTCTGACTGCAAGGTATCCACCTGCATGTTTCATTGTCTTTTGTCTCAAATACTTTTTAATGTCTTTCGCAATTTTTTAAAATCAAGTTCTATCGCTCATGAGCAACATGGACAAGTAGTTTTGACCGCTATTGTGAGATTAAGATGCTCTTCGGAACCACTCAGACAATCGCCGGGGGCAGGCGGGCACCGGAAAAATAGATTGCTGATCTCGCGCACCCCGCTCGCGGATTTTTTGGAAAGCAATCAGGACTTTTCGGAAGACCACTTGCTGAGTTCTGGATTCCTCAGAGATTCAGCAATATATCTGCAAAAGATAAGAGCGAAAAAAATTCAACAGGTGGTCTCTCAAAAATCCGCTGACTCAGCGAGCGGTCTTCCGAAAAGTCCTGATTGCTTTCCAAAAAATCCGCGAGCGGGGTGCGAGAAATCAGCAGTCTATTTTTCCGGTGCCCGCCTGCCCCCAGCGATTGTCTGAGCAACATCCCTACATATCTTTTCCTCTAGCTTTATCAACAAAAACAATAATCAACACAGATATTCATTCGATATCCCAGTGCATAACAACTTATGAGATGCTTCTGATGTGAGTAGCAAATATGCGGTAAGATAGCAATTTAACAGGGCCTTTAGCACCTAGCACCGCCGGTGCATTTCCGACGGCATCTTTCCTGATATTTAAATGTGCAGTGACGTGAGCGTAAGCGTCCGTTTTGATCGCGGCAATTCTGAATAGTTACGTCTGTAGAAAAGCCACGAGAACACGCATTTTGAATCTGTCATTATTGCATCACTAATTGATGAAAATGAAACCTTGGTTAGGAAATTTACTCAAGAATCTAGGAATTTCTTACTTGTGCTGCAAATAAAGATGCAACTTACCTTGAGAATCTGATTCTCGCAGTTTTTTCTGCATTGTGAAAGACTATGACCACATCTTGCTATCTTGCTCGGGCTGACTCCAAGGATGGAAATGAGCAGGAGGCTGATTAGCAGAAAGTTCATTATTCAAATTGTTTCAGCTTGGAGCGCTGAAAAAGTGCTTGCGCTGACATGTACACACCTCTCTTATAAAATGTAAATTTTGTGCTCAGACAACAAGATGTTCTGCAATTTTCCGTATTGTCTTACTCATGAGGTCTTTGGTGCCTAGTACGTATACAACAGTTTTTACGAATGAGCAAGAAGACTTCAAACAGGCTATATAAAAAGTAAAAAATCTCGATTATAGCGACAATGCGGCTTTTGCATCACATTGAAAGAACAACAAAAGGAAGAATGATTTAGATTTGATTGTACTGTAGCAGAATAAACATCTTGAACATTGTTTCTTGGGTAAAATGGATTATCGTATTGCGAGAAAAAAATGTAAATTATATAGCAGATTTGAGAAGCATTTCTCGTTTCAATGCATTATAGACCTATCTGTTTTGAATTTGCGACTATGTAAACAGACGAAGGAGAATAAGTAGCCCTCTAATGGCAGTTTGAGTACTTGATTATCAGTTTTAACACGTCATCGGTGTCATTATTTTTTCGTATTCACACATATCTTCAAGAATGACCGAAGGATCTAACACGTATATCTATAACCTTTTATAGCGATGTGTGCTTTTTAGTTCTGCTTTTGGACCGTTCCTACACCCTTAGTGCGCATAGTAAATAATATCATGTTCTCATACCACTGCGCAGTCATCAGGACATATCAGCATTTCTGACGCTGTCTTTTTCTTAAGATGACGTTATCAAACAAGGGCAATAAAGGTTTTCTTGATTTGTGACACAAAAGGCTGGTTCAAGCCATACGATGTTTGTCAAATGAGAAGAGAAAGCATAATATTGCAGCACTTCCTCATGATATGTTTTAGTAAATGTTGCAAAAAGTTGGAATGTTGTGGAAAGTTCTCAAATTGGCCTGGTCACTCTGCAAACAGTTATTCTTCATACTACTTTCTGTTGCTTATAAGCGCACAAGGTGAATGAAACTTTTGCAAAACACCGCGAGAATTTTCGGTAAAATGTAGACAAAACAACATTTGGCTAGAGTCTATGATTTAACAATAAAGACTTTCGTGAAATTCTAAGCAGCGATATGGTTTGAACTTTCCAAGTTATTGATGGGGCCAATCTATGTAATCCTGTTCCGGTTTGGCTGGATAATTTTTAGATAGCAGTACAAGTTTCAGCAGTTTTTTCGTCCGAAAAGCTTTTAGGGCAAACTGCTACCAAGGTGGCGTCGATTTTCCGCAAAAGTGTTTATTTTAAGTGTGCTAAGTCTAAAAAGTCAACATGAAATTCAAATGAAGCTAGCCTAAGCAACTAGTAGAACGGAAGATTATCGTTTTGTATTGGTTGTCCAACACTGGCAATTACTAATACACATTGTGTTTGGCTTTCACAAATCGGTGATGCTCTGTCCTGTTCATTCAAAATGCGCTTACGATGACTTATAAACAATCCAGTACGCCCGGAGCATGATGTTGCCATACTTAGCTCCTTTTGTTTTTTCACATGACCTTCACTTGAAGGCTCAGTTCTCACTTTTTTATTTCTTTCAAAAGTCGCAAAACGGAAATAAACGACCTTTTGCTTTTGTGCTTATCGTGATGGTGTTGCGCGAGTTGAGACAGTGTCACTATCTTGTATTGCCTTCACTGACAGCAGAGAGCTGTATGTTTGATACATGTATGTAGATAGAAGATATGTGTCACTGCGTAACTGCGTCACTCAAACGTCCTCTGTATCTTATATATAAAGCTGAATGTCTGTTTGTCTGTATGTCTGTATGTCTATTTGTATGTATGTACGTATGTTCCGAATAGAAATTTTTATTTCTGAACCGATCCGGACCAAACTTGGCACACATACACTTCGGGCCCCGGCGGGTGTCATGGGCTACTTTTCGTCATCGATCGATATCGATTTTATCGATTTTTATCGGTTTTTTTGCAGAGTTCACCTGCGGGGCTGAGAGTTTGCACAGGGGGTAATCGTGCATGGGGATTCCGAATACAATATTAGTTTTCAAGACTATCGATTACTTTTATCGATTTTATCGATTTTTTGCAAAGTTTGAGCTACGGAGCTGGGGGTTTGCACAGGGAGGTAATCGAGCATGGGGATTCCGAATACAATATTAGTTTTCAGGATTATCGATTACTTTTATCGATTTTATCGATTTTTTTACAAAGTTTGAGCTACGGGGCTGGGAGTTTGCAAAGGGGGGTAATCGAGCATGGGGATTTCGAATACAATATCAGCTTTTGAAATCGTCCATTATTTTTATCGATTTTGTTGATTGTTTTGCAAAGTTTGAGCTACAGGGCTGGGGGTTTGCACAGTGGGGTAATCGAGCATGCTGATTTCGCAGGATAGTGCAGTTTCTTTGGTTACAGTGGGTGTAGATGGGTCAAAGTTCCAGATTTGCTCAAAACCTTACCTATAAGGGTTCACAAGTATATCGCTTATGAATGTGATGCTTGCTCGCTGTCATAACGCAATAGTGAACTTATGGTGAGTTGCAGGGTTTCAATGGACATTTTTTTGCTTTCGGGCCAATTTAGATCCCAGATGTTCAAGAGACAGGGAAACGGTCGTATTGCATGGCGATCTCCAGCGCCATCCTGATAACCTGTCCCAACGCGTAACGCACGCGGCAGATCTCCCTCCCCTGTTTTTGCTTAGGCAAAAGCCGCCGAAGGGTGTATCGCGCGCGGCAGTGGTCCTATAAGGGAAAGCACTACGGTCGTGGGAAACTTTTATACCACACGAATTGCCTTTGTCGTGGGGATTGAGCACGATATTCTTGAAACAGCACTTTAGGTAATTTTCTGCCAAGGTTTCAGGCAGGTTCATGGTTTTTATCCGCTGTCATGTACCTACCGTAACTCTGCGAAAAGGTTTAACGCAACGAGAGTGTTTTAGACGAGGTCAGGAGGTCGAATCTCTCTAGACCGAGTTTCAGCCAAAACTAAGATTTCGCCCCTCTGCAGTATACCTACCATAACTCAGTGAAATCGCCTCAAAATGCTGAAGGAAAATGATATTCGTAATCAGCATGTCAATTAGTTCCCCTCCCTCAAAGTTTTAGCGAAATCCATGATTTTAGCTTCTTATGTGTACCCAACGTAAACCAGAAAAATGGCACGATATCGCGCGAAATGACTACGATATTCGTTATCAGCGTCTTCAGTAATCCCCATGTACCGACTTTGAGCAAGATCCATCACAAAAACATTTAGGGGCCGGATAGCCGAATAGCGTCATCAGTTTTCAGAATTATCCTTCCTTTTACCGGTTTTATTGCTTTTTTTTGCCAAGTTTGAGCTACGGGGCTGAGGGGTTGTTGAGAGAGTAGGTGGACATGCTAATTACTAACACAGCGGGAATAGGGAATTGCACGTAGAAGTGGGCACAATGAAAGGTTCTATAGGGATAGGGATAAGACCTTAATCATAGAATTGACAGGGCCGGGCGGACCCGGGTAAGCCAGCTAGTGGCAAATAAAAAAGCTGTATATGCACTTGTTGTAAAGTCAGACTTTTAGAAAAAAATAGACATCAAAAAGGCAAAACATACCACTGCACAAGGGAAGCGATGCGTCATCTCTCCTCGAGGCTTTGCATTGGTTCCAGCTATTTACAGTCTGCCCTCCTACTTGAGCAATAATGGGAAAACATCGTGAATGAGATGCAGACAGCTACATTCTGAGCCTCGCCATGTGTAAGGCTGGGCTTAGCACAGCTGGCCAAAAGAAAAGCTGTTTAAAGGCTGGGCTTAGCACAGCTGGCCAAAAGAAAAGCTGGTTACTTTTTTGAGAAGAAACATCAAAGGGGCATTGTTATTGGGGCTCAGAGTGGAGCCGTAAACGGCAGAGTTGTAAGCGAACCTTGTATTTCGAATCGCCCTTTCACTTTCACGTTCACTAGCGCAGACAGTCAAGACTGAATCATCAGTATCCTAAGATAAAGCATCACGCATAGCGCGGAGTTCAGACTGATCCAAATGAAATGGATTATCCATAACGAGCAAGCAATGACATAACATCAAATCTGTTTTGCATCTGCGCAGAAGGGACGTCCAACTATGAAAAAGAAGTTTAAGAAAACGTAGATGATAAGTCGCATTTTTTCTCTAAATTAGCAGTTAACTTCTGAACTAGAAGCGACTGAGTAGGACCGACCCTTTGTCAGCTTACTTTATGGCTGAACATAAGTTTGATTTGTATTTCAAAAGCAACACACAAGTCACATTTTCGCTCTCCACTGTCTTATAAGTTTGCAAAGGGGCGCAATTGAGCTCCGATAGCGAAGCAGCGCGCAAAGCACTGACAATTATTTTATCGATTTTTCATTGTGAGGGATTTAAAATCTATCAGTCACGTTTGTGCAAGGAGGAAGTATGAAAGTGATAGGTCAGAATACTACTCAGCTAGTTGAGAGTACCAAATTTAACAAAGAACGGCATTGTGATATACTGAGGACAAAAATGAAGTGGAGGACGTTTTTTCTCACATTTACTGGTGAGGTACGATGTTGTAAGCGTTGAGCTTTCCATTTGGTAGAAAAGCAAATGTTGATCATTGCTGAGCGCTCAGGCTGGGTTCATATTGATTCGTATGTGTCAAAATATTTCCAGCGCAACGCCCGAACTGTGTGCTGTGTTGGAACTGTTTCCAAACATACGGATCAGTATCTACGCAGCCTCGATTAGTAATCGGAATATTTCACAACATTATTTTAAACTAGCATGGGAGGTTGGATCAGTCGAAGTGGCCTTTCCAGAAGGGTCATATACTCTTTTGAAGAACGTTAAACGTTGATTCCAAATCTGTCTTCGTTATCTGCCGAACGCCTCTGGACGCCGAGTCATGAGCGTTCTTTGGGTTGAGAAATTGAATGCGTAATTAGAGCAAAATTCGTCAGAATTGCTCAAATGGTCCAATGTTGCTCATCATAGCACTCCATTTTAAAAGATACCTTCTGTTCAAAGCACTTATACTATATGTTGCTCTATTTAGGCACTGAAAAGTCCGCAGTACTTAATTTTAC